GTGTGAAGGTAACTCTTGGACCAGATTCCTAATTCTATTAATGCCTCGGATTCCCCCCCATCTCAATGGCTACAGGTGGTCTGCAGGCGGGACAATATAGAAGAATTTATACGTAATTTGTTTCTTTTTCTTGGGCGACTTATTTTTTATGCTTCCCTGTATAATTACAGTGCCAATCACTGACTTGTGCAGAAATATAAAATCATCTGGGAATCCTCACTTTTTTATTGACTCCGTTGGCTGAGGGATTTTCACGGGACCCCCGTCTCTGGGCCCTCACTCTCCGGAAATTCTGTTTCTCTGTTACTAATGTTGTGGCCTCACCCCATAACAAAGAAACAGAATTTCCGGAGGACGAGGCCCAGAAATCAGGATTTTAAAAAGATTCCCAGGTGATTCTCATGTGCAGCCAAGGCTGAGAACCACTGGTTTAGAGGATGAGATGGTGTTGTCCCAAAGCCCACCGTTTCTCTCCTCTCTCTCTCTCTCTCTCTCTCTCTCTCTCTCTCTCTCTCTCTCTCTATATATATATATATATATATATATATATATGTAATTTTTATTTTTAAAAGAATAGTTTATTGATATTTAGAGAAAGAGGAAGGGAGACGGAGAGAGAGAAACATTAATGTGAGAGTGCATTAATTGGTCTCTTGCATGCTCCCCACCAGCCGGGGATCAAGCCTGCAACCTGGCCATGTGCCCCTGACTGTCAACCTCCTGGTGCACTGGATGACGCCCACCCAACTGAGCCCACACTGGCCAGGGCGAAAGGCCCACCTTTCTAGAAGCGTTGAGCGCGGAGGCGCCCTCCGTGCCCTCACCAGACCCTCACACAATCTCCCTTTTTATTCATTCAGGATGCAAGGTAGAGGGGAACTGAGGGCGAGTCAAGGGCTCCCGGAGGAGGTCACTCAGAGGGAGGGGTCACCAAGGGCAGTGCATCCCTGACCCTGGAGGTCGCATGGAGTCCTTGGGCCTGGGCCCCCCAGCCCAGCCTGGGTGAGGGAGGGCTGTGGGAACGTCAAGTGGGAAGGGAGACGGAGGCGGAAATGGACAGGTCTGCCGACTGGCTTGGCGAAAGCCCAGGGAGGTGGTCAGGCACCCACGGAGGACAGGGTGGTGCAACACTGGGGCCAGGGAAGGCTGAAGGGCCTCTGGGCAGTCGGTGAGGCCTTGCCCCACCCGTGGGGTAGGACAGGGCAGAGTCTTTTCTTTCCTATCAGGGCCTCGGAGTCACAGGCCAGTCCCTCTGAGGCCTCCAGTCCCAGGCAAGAGAGAGCTGGCATCTCTCTGGAGCCCTGGCCCGAGTGGAGGTGGAGCTGGGGAAGTCGAGGCACCTAGGGGCCCTGCTCCCTTCCTCCCCCACTGCGGTGGGACCCCAGGACTGAGGACTCACACTTGAGAAGTGTCTTCCTGTCCACGGTGGGGGGCAGCACCTCATAGGAGTTCATTTTAATGCCTGTGGAGATGGAGGGCTCTGCTGAGGACACGCCCAGCCCAGCGGGCTTCCAGGAGGAGGCGTCACCTGGGGAAGGTGCACACGGGCCGGCAGGGCCCTCGACGATGCCCGGAAACCACCCCAGCCACTGCCCTGCAGGGCTGTCCCTGCCCCAGAATGACAGGGAGTGTCCAGTGGCCCAGGCCGCAGGTACTGACCCTGCAGGAGGAGCTGGTTGATGAAGCCGAGCCCCATGCCCACCAGCCGGCTCCGGAGCTCCGCCAGGGTCTGGGGCAGCTGCAGGAAGCTCTGCTTCTCCTCCCAGCTGGTGCCCATTAGGGGTTCCATGCAGTCTTGGAAGTTCTTTAGCCTGGGGAACTCCTGCGTGCAGGGAGGGGCGGCGAGAGTGGTACCACCTTTCACCAGGGCCCAGCAGATGCCAAGTGTCCCTGCCTGTGAGGGGCTTGGTGGTGCCCAGAGCGTGGGGCAGGTGGAGAAACTGCCGCTCTCAAACCTGGGCCTCTCCCTCCCCAGCTCCTGGCGTTTGGACATCGTAGCTTAGGGCTTTGCCAAAGGCCTGGCCTAGTGCATTACACAGAGTGATTTTTAGAAAACAGTGCTGGCAGGACTTCTTCCAGCCTCTAATTGCTTAGTGAAAAACCTTGCCAACGCTTCCTGGTGGGGGGGGACAGGGGAGGAACAGCCCTCGAAGTCTGCTCGGGGGTGCGATGGCCGCTGAAGGAAGGGGAGCTGTGCTAGGAGTTCCAAGCACAGGGCTGGGGCAGCCCCCAGCCCTGCCCAGAGAGAAGGCTGCCCCCCAACCTTCACCGGACCCCCCAGCTACCCTGCCTGGTACCCCCCTGCAGCAGCACCCAACCAGGCTGTGGCGCCAGGCCAGGGCCGGGGAAAGAAATGGGATTTCAATCCGGGCTCCGTAGATTGTTCTGTCTCACTTCCAGCCCTGCCTGGGGGCGCGTGGAGAAACTTAGCCGGTCAGATGCCCAGAACCCTAGGGTACATCCCATCTGTTCCAGGGAAATGAAGGCAGGAGCGTTAGGGTCAGGCTGGGTGCTGAGGTGGAGGAAGCCAGGGGGGTGGGTGTAAGCTCAGGACAGATGACCTGGGAGGCAGGGGAGTGGACCAGTGACGCGCCCCAAACGCTGATGGTGTGTCTGTGGGTGGAGGAGTGGAGGCTGTGGCAGGGCCTGGCGCGGAGGTGGGGTGGGGTCTTGCCTGCAGAAACTGCTGGTCACTCGGGTTGGTGAGCAGGGTGCGCAGCCAGATGCTGTCCGCCTCCAGCTTCAGGAGCCAGTTGTGGCTCTGCTGGATGGAGCTGCCCAGCTTCTCCAGGGCGGCGGCCTCCTCTTTCTCCACAAAATCCAAGACCTTCGTCTGCAGCTGTTTGACTTCCTGGATGATCCCCGAGAAGCAGGACTGCACCTCATCTCGCATTGTCTGGATCATTTTCTGGGGGTGGAGGTGGGAGGGTGCATAGCGAGGCATCTCTGAGCTCCACCCTGCTGTCCGCCTGGCCCCACCCCATCCCCTCCACGCCCTCAGAGTCCCCTCCGCCTGACGCCGGGCATGGGGACGCCTGAGCCTGGGGCGGGTGGGCACCCTTACCAGCAGAAAGGCCACCTGCTCGCGGTGCTTCTGGCTGTCGGAGGTGATCATTAGCATTTGGTTCTCCACGTTGGCCTGGACCTGCCGCAACTCCACCTGGGTGACAGGGTGAGTGGAGGAGAGGGCCCCTGAGTGGAGGAGAGGGCCCCTGATTGCCTTCTGCAAGCCGCCCCATGTTCAAGCCCAGAAGAGATATTCATTCCTCTTACATTCCAAAGAGGTTTCAAGGAGATGAGGATGAGGATGAGGATGAGAAAGAGCAGAGCTGAAGGGGTGCCAGCTGAGGGCCCACCCCCCTGCTCTAGGTCTCTCCCCGTTTTTAGGAGTCAGGTTCTCTGCTCCTGACAGGAATGACCTTCGGGTTTCAGGTCACAAGAAGGGGTCAGTGGCTTGAGAGGCCTGGGAGGCAGTGGGTCGAAAAAGGGCACATCAGGTGGGGGGCCCTGGGCTCCCGGGGCAGCACTGCCAGGCCAGTCCTACATACGCCTTTAGTCTCCCCTGCCCGGCAACGGGCGTGTCCGTCTCACGACGTATTACAGATAGAACCGCGCTATTCCAAGTGCCTGTCCAGGAACTGCTGCTGACCCGCAGCAAATGAGAAGCTCGTGCCAGACGGTAAATCAGCTCACTGCTCTCTCGCTGAGAAGGGCTTGCCAGGGAGAGGGTGTCAGCTCATCACACAACAGTGAGGAATTGGCTCGCGTCCCGGCCGAGCTCCTTGCCACGGACCATGGACAGTGACTGTGTTGGAATAGCGCTGTTCTAGGATGTACGTGATAGAATGTCCTCACATAGGACGTCATGTTTGTAGTTTTATATCTGTTCTTTCAGCCTTTCCTTTTGTTCTGAGCAAAAAAACAACAACCCCAAAACCCACTGATCATAGGATTCATCCAGGCCATGTTGGGTCCTTATTCACTGGACTGGCCAGCACTGCTTCATGTCACGGCCTGACCCTCTTGGCCATTGCTCTAACGGCTGCAGAATTTTCCTCCTCGGAGGTGGGGGGGGGGGGTGAGGGGAGGAGCTTGCGAAAGACTTTCATCTTCAGCGAAAGACTCAGAACCCCAGGCCCCTGGCTCCCGCCTGCTCCAGCCGCCGCCCCAGCCTCACCTCCCTGCGGGCGCGCTCCTCCTGCAGGGGGATGGTGTCGTGGTTCCTGTGCTCCTCCAGCAGGCAGGTCCCGCACACGCAGCAGCCTTCCGTGCGGCAGTACAGCCCCCGCAGCTTGCGGTGCTTGCGGCACAGGCAGCTCTTGAAGTCCCACAGGGCTCCAGGAGCTGGTGGTCCCGGAACACCTGGTCCTCCGAGTGGCTGCGCAGGTGCTTCTCGCACAGGGAGGCCATGCACTGCAGGCACGACTTGAGGGCCCGGCGCTTCTGGGGGCCGCAGAAGTCGCAGGGCACGTCCCGGGGCCCGGCCAGCTTCCAGGAGGACGCCGAGGCCGGGCTCTTGGCCTGGGTGAAGCAGGTCACCATCTCCTCCAGGGTGACGTTCTTGCAGAGGCGCGGCCGGGAGGAGAAGCTCTCTCGGCACTGGGGCAGTAGAGCGTCTCGCCCTCGGCCGCCTGGTGGTCCCAGAACCCCTGGAGGCAGGTCATGCAGAAGTTGTGGCCGCAGGCGGTGGTGACCGGGCTGTGGAACACCTCCAGGCAAATGGGACAGAGGACTTGGTCCTCAAACTTGCAGAGGCTGCCGCTGTTCCTCAGCGGGCGCTGGCCTGGCGGAGGTCTGGAGGGCTGGGCCGGGGGCTGCGCGGCTGGGACATGGTCCTGGACGGGCTCTAGGGAGACGGAGCAAAGCCATGCGGGAGCCTAGGCAGGAGCGGAGGGGGCCTTACAGGGGTACGACACTCCTCTGAGAAGCAGCTGTCTGCCCCTGGGGGACAGGGACTGTGCCATCAGTCAGCCCGAAGCGGGGACAGAAGTTGGGGATTGTGTTCTCCTTGTCCCAGACCCAATTCCTGGAACAAGTCCTGGACAAGAGGGTGGATGGCAGACAGCAGTCACGTGACAGGGGAAAGGAACCACTTCCTTGGCCCATCAGCAGGCAGGTAGGAAGCACAGGTACTTACGTGAAACTCTCTGCATGTCAGGGAAGGCCAGAGGCGTGGCGGCCCTGTCGGGAGGGAAGAGAACCCGTGGGCACTCGGGTGCAGGGCCCTTGCCCCTGGTCCCATTTCACCAGCTGCTGGGAGGGTCCCCATCAGTCTAGGGCAGCGGTTCTCAACCTTCTGGCCCTTTAAATACAGTTCCTCATGTTGTGACCCAACCATAAAATTATTTTTGTTGCTACTTCATAACTGTCACGTTGCTACTGTTATGAATCGTCATGTAAATATCTGATATGCAGGATGGTCTTAGGCGACCCCTGTGAAAGGGTCGTTCGACCGCCAAAGGGGTCGCGACCCACAGGTTGAGAACCGCTGGTCTAGTGGGTTCCCACTCCACGCTTCAAGCTCTCTGGGTCTGATGACCACCATCTCACCTTTCCCTTCGGCTGTGTTTTGCAGTCTTCCTATCAAGTTGCCCCCCCCGCCCCCCGCCCCCTGAAAGACTGCCTGCAGTTTTGCTTCCTGACGTCACAATTCAGGTGGGACCAGCCCCAGCATCCTGCTTGTGACGTCAGCAGGGAAAGGTGTACGGCTGGGCCTGCTGCGGCGAGCATGCACGCTGCCTGTGACAGGCTATTCCTCCTTCCGGAGCCTGCGCTCCAGGAGGCAGAGCCGCTGTGCACCTGGGGCCACTTGCAGTGGACTTAAGGGACTCCTTACGAACCCGAGAGGGAAAACAGCAACTCAGTGGCAGAAGGATCTTGGGCAGTTCGTTAAATCTCTCTGGACCATGGTTCTCCTCTTATGAATCAACAGGGTGGTGGTAGGTGATAACATTTCAAGGCCCCCTCTTGGTCTAGAGTGGATTGATCCCAACATTATCTGATGGATGATCCTAAAGATTGTTGCTTCCCACTCTGGTCCTGACCCTCAGGAGGAAAAAGGGGACGAGCAAACTGAAGAGACCCTCATTACTCTAAGGCAGTGATGGCGAACCTTTTGAGCTCGGCGTGTCAGCATTTTGAAAAACCCTAACTTAACTCTGGTGCCGTGTCACATATAGAAATTTTTTGATCTTTGCAACCATAGTAAAACAAAGACTTATATTTTTGATATTTATTTTATATATTTAAATGCCATTTAACAAAGAAAAATCAACCAAAAAAATGAGTTCACGTGTCACCTCTGACACGCGTGTCATAGGTTCGCCATCACTGCTCTAAGGGCTTCTTGTTAGTCTTTCTGTTTCTTATTCTTCCCTATCCAACAGGACAAATGTCCTGAGATGTTTGCAATATATCACTTTCTTGCTTCAAAAAGCTATGAAACTTAGATTTTGAGCTGCCAGATTTGACTTGGAGGAAATAATAGCCTCAAAAGAAAGTTCACAAGGGCAAAAGCTATCATTAAACTTCCACCATAAAATCAACATGGGAAACAATGAAAATATTTTTTTTTAATTGTCATTTGAATTTTTAAAAATGTTTTACTGCTTTCATTTTTTTAATGTATTTTTATTAATTTCAGAGAGGAAGGGAGGGAGAGAGATAGAAACATCAATGATGAGAATCTGATTGTCTGCCTCCTGCACACCCCACACTGGAGATAGAGCTGGATACCTGGGCATGTTGCCCTGACCGGGAATTGAACTGTGACCTTCTAGTTCATAGGTTGATGCTCAATAACTGAGCCAAACTGGCTGGGCCTTAATTAAAATATTTTTAAGTAAAATGAAAATAGAAAACTTGGGCCCTAGCTGGTTTGGCTCAGTGGATAGAGTGACTGTCAGCCTGCGGACCAAAGGGTCCCGAGTTCGATTCCGGTTGGGGGCGCATGCCTGGGTTGTGGGTTTGGTCCAACCTGCAGGAGGCAGCCTATCAATGATTCCCTCTCATCATTGATCTTTCTTTCTTTCTTTCTTTTTGTAATTTTATTTATCAATTTGAGAGAGAGAGAGAAACATCGATTTTTGTTGTTCCACTTATTCCTTAGTTGGTTCTTGTTTGTGCCTTGACTGGGCATCAAACCCACAACCTTGGCATATCAAGATGATGCTCTAACCAACTGAGCCACCCAGCGAGGGGCTCATCATTGATGTTTCTATCTCTCTCTTCCTCTCCCTTCCTCTCTGAAATCAATAAAAATAAAAAAAAAGAAAATAGAAACTTGGAAACAACTTAATTGCACTGCATAGAAAACCGATCAAGGAATTAAACTGGCTTAATGGAGTAACAGTTCCCTCCAGTGGAAAGCTTTCCTGATGAAAATGTGTGGTGTGATTCTTACTGAAAGTTTAGCTGGAGGCTGCCACCTGGGCTTTGTGACTGAGCAGGTCCGGCCACACTCAGTGATCTGTTCCAGGCGCTGGCGCTGCCTGCAGCCGCCAGCAAGCCCTCCCTGGAGCATCAGCAGGCAGAACGCCAGGGTTTTGGAGTAGATCCTCGCCTTCTCTTGCAGATGAACTCTTCTCCTTTTGAGATGCAGCTCCTGCAACCTAACCATGGACATCAAGTGACCACAGGGCCTGAACTGCCCATCACAAACAGGGTGCCCTCTCACCCCCTCAGCCATTTGAGGAGTAATTACCATTGCTCAGGAATAGGTGTGACTCTTTCAGGCCCCGGAACAATGACTGTTGGCATTGTGCTGCCTCCTGCCAGGGGGAGGAAAGGATCTTTATTATTTATGTATTTTTTTTATCCTCACTGGAGGATATGTTTATTGATTTTAGAGAGAGGAAGGGAGACAGAACCATGGATGTGAGAAACATCGATCGGTTTGCCTCCCATACTTGCCCCAACCAGGGATCGAACCCACAACCTAGGTATGTGCCCTAACCCTCAACCTTTTGGTGTCTGGGATGATGCTCCAACCAGCTGAGCAACCGCAGCACTGCAGCTTCTCAGGCAGGCCAGGCGTAGCTGCTCCCAGCAGTGTGCTGCTTTTCTAGTTAGACCCAGCTTTCCTGAGCCCTGAGATGGCGGCATCTCTCGCACAGGGCTCCTCCGCTGAGCCTCCTCTTCATCATCCTAACTTCTCCCCTTTGCTCCTGGGCCCTGGGAGCGTCTTGTAATCCCTACAACCTTCCCCCACAACCTGTTAACCACTGGGGTCTCCATCTCATTGGACCCTGGCTGATACAACCTTGTGCCTTGTTCTTGACCTTTGTGTACAGTTGTCTCTCTATTGGGCGTGGGGGTGGGGGGAGGCGGGGAAGACGAAGGCCTTTTAAGGATCTCACACCCTGCCTGATGCCTAAAGTGAGGGGTTCTTCACTTGGTTACTGGGGGTCACCTCACATTTCTCACCCTCTACCTTGCAAAGAAAATGGGCAACCTAGTCACTTATTGTCTTCCAGGAGGACTGTTTTTCCCTTAATAAGCATCTCACCCAGCCGGTGTGGTCATTTGGTTGAGCGCCATCCCCATGAACCAAAAGGTCACAGTTCGATCTCAGTCAGGGCACATGCCTGGGTTGCGGGCTCCACCCCCAGTAGGGGGCGTGCAGGAGGCAGCTGGTCCATGTTTCCCTCTCATTGATGTTTCTATCTCTCCCTCTCCCTTCTTCTCTCTGAAATAAATAAAAACAAATGAAAAGAAAAACCACAAAAACACCTCATACTCCTCCCCCATCTCTTTCCAGCCCTGTGGGTAGCCCATCTGTCCCACCTTCTGGTTCTCAGCACTGAGTCCTTTCAGATTCAGGAAAATCAAAGTGGGAGGAAGGAGGCCCAACACCCCCTTGGGCAGTTTGGCAGCAGGAGAAACCAGGCCTTTGCGGGAGGCCCTGCTGGGAAAGGTGCAGTTCACCTCCAGGGAGGCCTTGGAGAAGCATGAATGGTGAGTGGACACAGGAGCTGGCGATACCGGAAAACACACCAAAGGTCTCGAGATTCAGCAGTTCGTTTCATGTTTATTGACCAAAAGGAAAAAGGAGGTCACACCATTCCAGACTCTTCAAACACTCAGTCATAAAGGGCACCCACAGGTGACGGGCATGGTCCCTACGTCTGGATCGAAGGCCACGCTGCAGGGTGTGGGTGTCCTCTCGGCCCTACCCCCTCAGCAGCTGTCCCTTCCTCCCGACAACCCTGAGATCAGCTGCAACTGCAGGAACGAAGTCATTCTAGAGGGACTGGGCCCACCTCACTGCCAAGGTACAGAGCAGGTTCTGAGGACACGACAAGCCCACTACTGTCATCACTACTGTCATTCGGATGCCGGCTGCTCCCTGGGCCTGGCCTGCATGGCCTGTGGCCACAGACCTGGGCAGAGAATGAAGCAGGAAGACTCCCCACTTGGCAGCACTGGGAAGCTGGAGAGGATGGGTCACTGGTCATGTGACACCCCCAAGCCAAAGGCCAGACCTCTCTCTGAATTAGCCAGACTCTACCAGGGGGAGAGGCTTTTAAGAAAAATACTCCTTGGCTCATAAAGGATTTGGGTAAAATACTTTTCCAGAAACCTTATGAAACAAATCATCTGATTCTGGAGCACTAGAACCATTAAAGGGTCCCTGGGCTGCCAGGAGGGAAGCTGGGTGAAAGCCAGCCCTCCAGGAGATAAGAGATACCACTTAGGCCTGCGTCTCAGAGCAGAGCAGGGCTCGGCAGTCCTCTCACAGCCCCGCTGTGGGTTTCTGCGAGGAGAAATGCATTCCCGAGGGCTCGCCGTGCCTGCCTCTCGCCTCCTCATCCTGTGGCCTGGGACCAGGCTGGTCATCAGCATGCCCAGTGCCCAGGAAGCACGTCTCATTGGGCGCGTCCATTTGAGGTTCCTTATTCCAGTTGTCCAAACAGCACCTCCTCCAGTCCTCTGTCCTGTCAGAGCCGCTTTTCCCTGATACATTTAAACCTTTATTTTCCCTCCCGACAGATGACAGGATGGATGCCTACAACCTTTCTGAAAGGTGACGGCTTTTACTGTAGGCGGAAGTTCCTCGACATGTCACAGCTGTAAAAATCCTGGGCACCTGCCAGGCTTCTGAGGTGCCAGCGTGCAGCCTCGTCTGTCAGCAGACACATGTCTGTCCTACTTTACACAGAGAAATAAGGTCAAAGTGAGAATTCTGGGCATGCGCAGGTCACAAGCTCAAAAGACACTTGGCACAGTCTATACTCACATCCAAAAATGGCGACCCCAGGCCCCCTAGCAAGCAGGTGAGCTGCGGGCGGAGGGAACCTCAGCTCTGAAGAACCGGAAGCGACTGGCTGGAGGTGGCGTACAGATGGCGTGTTCGCGAGGCGCCTTCCCCTTCTCTGGCCCACCTGCCACACTCTGGGAGCCATCGGGGGAAAGACAAGGCTTCCCGGCCCCCACGCATTCACAGCTGCTTCAGACTCAAAGCTGAGAGAAGGTCCGGTACAAGCTCTGCGGCCACAGCTCTGCTCCCCCGGGGCAAACAAGCGTTTGGTCAAGGGCATGGCCCTCCATAGAAAGAAGTGACGGTGCGGGCGGGTCAGGGACAGGGCGAGTCCTCAGACGGCCCAGCAAACGCATACGCACTAGCGGGAAGGTGTGGGGTCACGGACAGGGCTGCCAAAGTGAGAGACCAAGAGACACAAACAAATATTACATGTTCAGTCAAGGCATTTCCAGGAGACAATCACAGAAATAACACTTTGGACACCGTCACAGGACACATGTGGCAACTCTTAAAGAAACAGCCATCCCCACCCAAGCCACCGGGGGGTCCAAAGTCCCTTTAGCCCAGTTTAAAAAGTCCAGGAAGGAAGAGGGACCAAGGGAGGGTAAGAGAAGGCTGCAGAAGCGGTTACACCAACTACCTCCAGCTCCCATCTGCCCATCCCATTCAGTGCAGAATGCCGCCCGCCTCCACCCTCTTCCTGGCAAGAAAGCCAGCCGCCTGGACAGCCCAGGTTGCTGGACAAATGGGGCAAAGCTGACTGTGGCAGCAGCTGAACGGCCCGAACCCCGAGCAGCACTCCCCAGCCTCCAACCACAAGCAAGGACGCCCCATCCTCCCTTTCCTCAAAGAGGCTTAGTTCATAGGAATGTGGGGTACTCCCTCCTTTATCAAAACCCTCAATTCAGTTCGACAAATGGGAGCTAGACTCCTTTGCGTCTGCTACATTAGTATGCGGTGCATCGAAGGAAGGGAGCGTAGTGTTACAGAGCGGCTGGTGCCAGTGCCCACCTCGGCACACGCAGGTGAAAACCAGGCACAGCTCAGGGACAGTCCGCTCACTGCTCTGGCTTCCCAGAAGCACAGGCACGGCCAAGAGCAGGCCTTCCTCTCCCCTCCCCCGGGTTCCAACTGGAAACCCAGCCCAGATGCGGTTGTAAAGCTTTGTTATAACACTGGCGAGGAACACAGAGCAGGTTTCTGAGAAGGTTTTCTGCAGCCGGAAGTTCCATCTGTTTTCAGGTTCCTGTGGCTGGGGTGGGGGTTCCTTTGGTTTGGCCAGAACACACTCCATGGGGGGCCAGGCTCAGCTTTGCTTTGCAGGAGCTCAGTTACTGTACAGGAGCGAGACTGAACTTCAAGAGGTGCTCCGCCAGGGCGCTCTCTCCACGTCTAGGATTCTGGCGTTTACATCCGAGATCCTCTCTCCTGAAGAATCTGGAAGTGGAAGGTGGGGAGAGGGCTGAGGCTCGGACTCTGGATGCAGACTGCTTTTAGGCTCAGCTGCTAAGCAGACGGCTGAAGAAAGCAAGGAGACCCACCGCTTCCCACTGGCCCCGGCGAGCAGCACCACAATCCGTTACCCAGGAAGCGAGCAGGACTGGAGCCCACCCCTCCCTAAACTAGCTGACGGCGGCGGGGCCAGCGGTGCTGTGGGACCACTTCTCCCTGCTCCAGGGAACGGGTCAGGCATATGTGGGCGACTTACAGAGTGTGTCTGTGTTTCAGGGGGCCCACTGGGGGGATAGGTAACTGTGTACAACACTTTTCCAGTAACTTAAGAAGCCACCAAGGTAACCTAATACCTTTTTTCTTGAGGCAGGAAAAAGAACAGTTTCAAATAATAAAAGCAACAGCCGGTACTTCCCAATGCTGAGGTTCAGAATGCCAACCTCGGGGGGGGGGGGGGTTAGGGGGTAAGCCCTTCTTTTTCACTGATTCAACAGAGCCTGGGAACAGCCTGCCCTTCTCCGTCCTGTTTTCTAACGAAAACCCCTCTCACCGCTCATAAATCTTGATTTAAATTACAACAATCAGAAGACCCAAATGAAGGGGAACCGCAAAGCTGCCTTGAGAAGGGCCGGGAGGAAATGAGACAGGGCCCCTGGGGGGGCAAATGAGTCCCACGCAGATTCTGGTGAAGCGGCCTCTTACCTTTGCCTTTTCACTGGGCTCTATGACGATGCCGTTGGTGGAATTGTTTAGTTCTCTGGAGACGACACAGAGGAATTCTGCCTGGTCCTCGTTCCCGTAGTTATAGGAAGACCCGATGTTGATGAGCTGATAAAACAAGGACCTGGTGAACACGCGGGACCTGACACCGCCCAGTGCCACGGAACCCACGCCTGCGGAGTGACCGCGCGGCTGCCTCCTCAGCGGATGAAGGGCCCTCTGGGACCGTCAAGGCCCCAGTCACTGGATCTCGGTCACTCATCAGGGCGTCGTCAGCGCGGCTGCCCCAGAGGAAAAAAGTCCGATTTCTGCCACCATCTCCCTCACCCGAGCAGCTGACACCCGAAGGCAGCAGCTGGAGTCACATGACCACATTCCTTCCAGCAAACACAAAGGGAAACAGAATGTTTCTGTGAATA